TCCTTCCTTCCTTCCTTCCTTCCTTTCTTTCTTTCTTTCTTTCTTGTTTTCCTTCCTCCCCCTGGACTAAATCAGCAATCAGTTCCCACAGGATGACATAAAAACATTTCCACTAAATTTCATGCTTGGTCCTTCTCTGGCTTTTAGGATCATTTTATATGTGTACATAAAATTGCTTTATATTCTTCATACTTTCCTAAATAAATAAACATTATTAAATGGAAATTTTCATAGAGGGAGTCATAAAAAGTGATATAGTTCAGAAATAACAAGTTTATTTTTCCTTCTACTTCTTTTCCAATCTTGGGAGTCCAAATATAAAACGCAGCACCTAGCTGCACCTTCATTTTTAAAAGATTTTTGGTCTAGCTTTATTATTTTCTAAAGAATAACACAGTGAACATACATAATACAGGTAGTCCTCAACTTATAAAAGTTCCTTTAAATTTACAACAGCACTGAAAAAAGTGAGCTCACACGATCATTGCAACATCCCGGTGGGCACATGATCAAAATTCAGATGCTTGGTGACTGACTCATATTTATGACAGTTGCAGTCTCCTGGGGTCACGTGATCCCCTTTTGCAATCGTCTGATAAGCAATATCAATGGGAAAACCAGATTCACTTATCAACCATGCTACTAATTTAACAATTGCAATGATTCACTTAACAACTGTGGCAAGAACAATTGTAAAATGAGGCAAAATTCACTTCACAAATGTCTTACTTAGCAACAGAAATGTTGGCCTCAATTGTGGTCGAAAGTTGAGGATTACCTGTACGCCTTTCTCTTCCTGTTTTTCCCACAACAAAACCCTGTGAAGTAGCTTCAGCTGAGAGTGAAACTGATCCAGTCACCCAGCTGGCTTTCATGGCTAAGACAGATTAGAACTCACAGTCTCTTGCTTTCTAACACCTTAACCATTACATCAAACTAGCTGTTACTGCTCTTCCATTCCTAATTACTCCTATACAACTATATAAGAAATGAAAATAAATGAAACTGGTAGCTTTCAGTTATACTATCAATATTCAATTTGACAAACCAGTTACTAAGCCTCTTTTCAATTAATGTATTGATTCAGTCATGTGATTTAGGGTAATTATGGGTTGGAGTTACAATAGTTATTTCTTGAACTCATCATTTCTGGCTTTTTAAAAAATTATTTTGCATGTTCATATTTTTCAGAGTTCTGAAGAGCTGCGTCTTTCAGTTGCTCACATTAAGCAGATAATTGGGATTTTAAGAGATTTCATACACACTCCTGAACACAGAATTATGGCATCAACTATATCAAAGTTGAAAATGGAACTGGATTTTGACAATGCTTCAATCAATCAGATTCAATTAGTATTGTTTGGATTTCAAGATGCAGTATGTTCGAACCTAGCTTAATATTGGAATACAGGGAAGGGCAAAGTTTTGTTGTTGCAAACATTCATGTATTCTTAAGCACTTTAGCATAGCTGGTAAATATTCACCAGTATGAGCAAATGAATACATCTCTCATGACCTAAAATTCAAGAAGGTTACAGCAAAAACATATCATTCTGAAGTAAGATCAGAAGACAAACTGGCCTGACAACTCATATAGATATAAAAATTTCATTACAGATGATGATTAAAGGCACATACATAGAAAATTTTCTGGAACATTTTTATTTATTTATAAAATTGCTGTAAATGAATTCCACTTTCTACTCTATGCAGATACTTGTAAAATACATTGTGTATAGAACTTTAAATAAGCAAATATCCCAGACACTTTTGCATAACCAGTATAGATACATTATTTCATCTGTGGCTTTTTGCTTTGCCTGGATTGGTGATATAGTTGCAGATAATAAAAATAAAACATTGAAGTGACTAAGCAAATACATGTTCTGAACACTACAAACTTTGAGTTTTCTTTAAAAACAGTGATTATAATTTTATTCGGATATTAAACAGTCATTCTGTCAATCTATCCAGTTTTTACCATGAAAAGTAAGCTTTCCCTAAGCTAGAAGTCTTCAAATGATAATGTTGTCTGAACATTCTGAATTCTACCTGTGTTTCCCCGAAAATAAGACCTTGTCTTTCTTTTTGACACCATAAAAGGTACCAGGTCTTATTTTGAAGGGGGAATGTTGCCCACTGACTCACCTCACTTGTTTGTGTTGCCCCAGCCTCCTTTTTGCTGTCAGAGGCCTTCAGGAACTTCTTTGGCTTTGGATAGTTGCAGCCAGGCCTAGCACACCTCGGCCCATTTCTTCTGTAGCCAGCAAGGCTTTCTGAAGGCCTCTGTAGCTGATAACAGAGCTCCAGATCTGGAGCTCTGTTATTGGCTAGAGAGACCATCAGGAAAGCCTTGCTGGCTGCAGAAGAAATGGGCCGAGGTGTGTGAAGCCAGGCTGCAACTATCCAAAAGTAAGTAGTAGGACAGCTCCACCCCCATCTCCACCATAACTTAATTTTTACCCATATACTCTGGAGTGGGCAGGCCTTAATTAGGGCTTATTTTGGGTAGGGCTTATATTGAGTGCATGTGTAAAAATCAAGCTAAGACTTACTTTCTGAGTAGGTCGCATTTTGGGGGAAACACAGTAGTATCAAAACATTTAATTAGCACCAACTTAAGACAGTCTGATAGTAGATAACCACCAGTAATGTTCTTCAAATAGAAACAGCTGCCTTTTCCCAATAAATATAAAGATTGAAGTTCTCCATATTTACTGAACCTTTTTATATTATAACTCAATTGCTTATAGGAGCTATTAAGTTTCTTTATTGTAATGCTGCAGTTACCTGATTAGTAAGTTTAATCAATAACAATTGGTTTGCCTCTTTCTAACAGGTGAACAAAGTATTAAGGAATCATGTCATCAAACCTCATTGGATGTTTGCGATGGATAATATAATACGGCGTGCAGTTCAAGCAGCCATCACTATTCTTATTCCTGGTAAGTGAAATGACACAGTTAAATATGCTGTGCCTAACCCTCTTAGTATGACATACTACAGAATGAGACACACCCAATATAACTTAAAAGAACCACTAACGTCATTTATGAAATTAATACAAAACCTGAAGGCTCCTGTCACACATAATGTACTTTGGGGTTACTTGCAGTATCAATTTATATCTGAAACCCTATAGATCAGGGATGTCAAACTCGCGTCATCATGCAATAATCACGTGATGTATCGGGACTTTTTTCCCCTTCACTAAACCAGGTGGGGCGGGGCCAGTACATGATGCATCTGGCCCACAGGCCACAAGTTTGACACAGTTGCCATAGATCAATATCTGAAAGTGGTATCTAAGTGACAGTACTTAGATTTTTAAAAAGTTACATTTCAGTTTTACTGGCAAACTGATAAAATTGTGGGCTACATCATACTTTAAATTTATAGAGGTTGATAGTCTATACCCAGAGTGTTCATCAGTAATGGTCTTGCAGTGGCATTAGATTTTTGTCCTGTACTATAAGATCTGTATACAAATCTTGGTCATAGATTATCATCAGATTTTTTTTGAGAATGACAAATGAAGTAGAAATATTTGTACACATAGGATGTAGAGCTTGGTCAGAAAACACATACACCATCCTTATTGATGATATGATTCTTCCTAAAATCTCAAATAAGAAAACCTAGGAAGGAAACAAAAGGACTAGAACACATCCCCTCCAGCAACCAACACTCCAATAAGCAGGCACCAGACAAATGGACAAAAGACAATAATTGAGGGACTATCAAGGAGGAAGCCACCTACCCATCAAAATAGGCAGAGGGTCAGACTGTCCCAGTCTGATCTCCTTGGGAAATAAAACTCTCGACTCCATTTGGTTGAAGTGAAAAGATACTTTCACTAAGAGATGCTGAATACAGTAAAGTCAAGTGGAATCTAAAATTCCCATGTCCCAATTCAAAACTAAACCCATGATTTCCTTTAGCCGTCTCCCCATAGTCTGTCCATATGTAGCCAATCTGTCACTGCCAAGATAATTTAGGAAACACTGAGGTGTTTGGACTGGTGAAATTCCACTCTCAGGGTAAACAGTCTTGAAGATGTCAATGTGAACTGGATTACAAAATTCTCTTTCTTTTTCAGCTGTCAATTCTCTCCTTCCAATTTCCCATCATAAAGGTATACATCTTTATTGCCCATTTATTCCCCCCTCTTTTCCCCAATTGATGACAGAACATCGGAAGTCACCAAACTGAAGCTGATGAATCGGACATGTTGCTCTCCTTGACAAGGACACCAGTCCTTTCAAAACAAATGGAAAGACACAACACACAGAGAGGGGTATCTACAAGGTAGATGTGCAGTTAGAGTAGGGAACTATTTTGATTAATCTGGATATTGATTATGGAAGCATTTAAGGAATTTGGCCACTTTAATGTGCTTAAGATCCATCCATTCAGTCTTGGAGGGACTTTCAGTCTTTCTATGAAACTAAATATTGGAGTTTTCCTCTGTGTTTGTGAGAATCTACAATATCCTTAACTTTAAAATGTTGTTCCCCCTCAATCATGACAGGTTTGGGTGGTGGAGGTGGCCTGGGACGCAGAGCTGATTGAGTTTCTGATTTTAATAATTACAATGCAAAATCCAGTTAATGCGCCTAAGAGATTTCCACAGTTTGAGTTCTACTGTGACCAGGTTGATTATTCTTTTGATGGGGAACATACTAATGGTCCCAGTTTTTTGGAAGGTTGCAGGGACTGCAGGTATTTTATGGAGAGGTAGACCTGATCTCCTATTTTGAAGTCTTTGGACATTGTCCAGTTTTTGTCTATGTTTTTTATCAGTCTCTCTTGCCTCCTCCAATTATTTTTTAACAAACTGATCAGGAATTCTGTAATTGGTCAACCCAGTAATGAAATGGGAGGAGTGATCAGGGCAGTTCAGGCATGGGCACAAAGTCCTGCTCTATACCTATGTTAAAAGGAATAAACATTTGCTGTTATGTATGGAGTTATTATAAGCCACTTCAGCAAAACGGAGGAGGTCAGTCCATTTGTCCCACTGGTAGTTTACATTACATCTTATATATTGTTCTAGCACCCCATTTGTACGTTCACCACACCCATTTGTTTCAGGATGATGACTGAAACTAAGTCCTTGGGACATCCTGACAAATTTTAGAAACTCTTGCCAGAATTTGGAAGTAAATTGCACCCCACGGTTGGAAATTATTCTTTGAGGAGCACCATGCAGCCTATAGATCTTGTGGATGAACAACTTAGCCAAGGTTTGGAATGAATTTTCAGTAGGGTACAAAATGCACTTGTTGGAGAACAAATCAGTGATCACCCAGATTACAGTATTTCCCAAGCTTTCTGGTAGTTCTATTATAACATCCATACAAATTTCCTTCCAGGGGGCATTAGGTTCTGCCAATGACTAAAGGAGTCCTGGTGTTTTCCCCTGCCAGCACTTGGCTGAAGCGTAGATTAGGAAAGAGTCACACAACTCTGAATATCTTTTTTAAGCGACAGCCACCAAAACTAGCGTAATTAAGTGTAATATTTTTACAAAGCCAAAATGTCTGGTAGTTTGGTGGTTCTTTTCCAGGATTAGCAATCTTTGGCTTTCAGGAATGTACACCTTGTGCCAACTGTCCCATTTGGCACATTCCCCACATTCGCGCCCAGTGGGTTTTTGATTCCTGATACAGGGCATCTCTCAGCTACTCCCTTGAGCTTGCTGGCTGCTCTGGCTTTTCAGCCCTCTATTTAAGGCATGCACTCACCAGCTGCATCCCTGGCCTGGCTTGCAATGCTGCCAGGGCTCCTTGAGCCAAGGGTTCCCTTGGCTTCTCCTCCTCCAACTCTTTGTCACCAACATCTTGGGATTACTGAGCTCCTGGCGGGGTTCAGGTAGGCACTACTATGAGTACTGACTTAATGTCAGGCATTTCATTTGTCACATTCAAAAAAAGAAATTCCTGGCATGTACAATTACCAAGAGTAAAACTTTATTAAATGATCCACTTAGTTATAGCTCCCCTTTTCCTCCTATGGGCCACCAATAGCCCATCATTCATCAATCCAATCCAGTCATTTTGTTTTGGGAAGACAGTCTGCGCGTTTGAACAGTTCATGAGCTGTGACCTTGAGGTGTCAAGTTTCTCAAGCAACAGCCCACATGCATTCCTCAGCCCTCCCCCCTCCCTAGATATTTACCAACCCCCACACAGTTTCTGTTTGGCAAAATGCAAACTGAAAGCTGGTGCAATGCTGAAGTTGAGTCAGCTTTGACAGCTTGCTTCCACACAGGCTAGATCTTGCATTGTGCATTCATTTTTTGTGAGCTTGGAACCAGTTATCCCCTTCCAATGCTGCCCTCAGGGTCTCTGCTATGTCTTCCCCAATTTGAGGTTTTGCTCTTGCCTGTACGCGGGTGGTGACTGGTGCTACAAGCTAGTGGGACAGAGTAACTTGTCTATTTCCTGCTTAATGCTGTTTTATTTTTTTATTTTTTTTCAAAATTTTATTGGTTTTTAAAAACAAACATAAACAAACAAGACATAAAAACATCAAGCTATCTTCCATAGGTGTGCCGGTTGGTTTAAAAATTGTTTTGTGCTTCCATTTCGTAGTCTTCAATTACAATTACTTTACATATAATCTCATATTGTCAATCAAAAATTAAATACCTTAGTATCATTATTAATCAATCATTTGACTATACTCTTATTCATTCATGTTTTACAAGATAGCCATAATTTACTTAGATCTTATAACAGTTCATATTACCATCCCAAATCTATCCTAAAATAATTTTGTAGATATAATAAGAAAGAAGTACATCTTTGTATATTTATTATTTTCTAAAATCTACATAATTCATTACTGTACTTTATTGTCTAACCATTGATAGAAAAGATCCCAAATTTTATAAAATTATTTATCCTCTTGTTCTCTAATTTCAAATGTCAATCTACTCATTTCAGCACATTCCAATATTTTCTTAATGATTTCCTCCTGTGATGGTATTTTCTCATTTTTCCAGTTTTTAGCAAATACAATCCTAGCCGCTGTTAATACATTTACAATCAGGTATTTCAAGTCTTTACTATATATTTCAGGTAAAATTCCCAATAAAAATATAGCTGGTTTCAAGTCTATAAGTTTTTTTGTCATTTTTTCCAACCACATGTGGATTTTAGTCCAGTATTTTTTAGCATCCGCACAAGTCCACCACATATGGTAATATGAGCCAGGTGTCTGATGACATTTCCAACATTTTTCAGATTTCTTCTTGAACATTCTTGCTATTCTTGTTGGGGGAAAATGCCACCTGTAAAACATTTATACAAATTTTCTTTATATGCTGTTGACATTGTCATTTTATAATTTTGAGACCACAATTTTTGCCATTTCTCTAAATCAATCCCATATCCAAAATTCTTCCCCCAAGCAATCATAGTTTCTTTAACTTGTTCTTCTTCTAGTTTAATTTCTAATAAATATCCATACAATTTTTTGATCACCTTTTCATCAGTACCTGTCAAAATCTTATCTAAATCAGTCAATTTATCATAGAAACCTTCCATTTTAGAATCTTTATCATACCTTGAATGTATTTGCGCATATGAAAACCAATTCATCTTTATACCTTGTTCCTCTAGTTTTTGCATAGATTTAAGTTCACCCTTTTCATTCAATATTTCACCATATCTAACTGTTTGTTCCTTTTTGTATATTATAGGATACGAAAATGCTTCAATAGTCGATAACCAGACTGGAATTTTCAAATAACATTGTCTTTTAATTTTCTCCCAGTTTAACCACAGAGACTCCCGTATATAATGTCTTCTAAAATACCCCTGTGTTTTAGTTCCTTTGTACCATAAAAAAGCATGCCACCCCAACAACAGATCATGTCTTTCTAATGTCAACAATCTAGTATTTCTTAGTGTTATCCATTCCTTAACCCACATCAGATTTGTAGCTTGGTAGTACAACTCCCAATTAGGCAAACCAAATCCTCCTCTAATTCTAGCATCTTGCAAAAGTTTTAACTTTATTATCGCTTTCTTACCTTGCCATATATATTTCAACAAAGTAGTCTCTTCCAAGCCTAATTGGAATTGTTTGAAACAAATATAAAATTCTGGGTAATATATTCATCTTGATTGTTGAAATTCTCCCTATTAGTGACAGTTGTAAGTTTTCCCATTTCGCCAAATCTAGTGCTATCTGCTGTTTAAGTGTAATATAATTATTCTCTTTTAATGTACTACATCTTGCTGTCAAATATATCCCCAAGTACTTGATCTTATTCGTGACCTGGATTTTCAATAGGTCTGCCAGTTCTTCCTTTTGTGTTAATAGAATATACTTTGTCAAAAATCTTTGTCTTATCTTTATTTATTTTCAAACCAGCCACCGTTCCATATGTCTCTATCTTTTCTATCAATTTTGATGCTGTTTCTAAAGGGTCTTCTAAGATGAAAACCAGATCATCCATAAATGCTTGCAGCTTAAATTCTTCCTTTTTGATTTTCATTCCTTTTATATTCCTTTCATCTCTAATATTTTTATTTAACACTTCCAAAATTAACACAAACAACAAAGGTGATAGTGGGCACCCTTGTCTTGTTCCTTTTCTTATATTAATAGAGTCTGTCAGTTCTCCCTCTATCATTACCTTTGCCATTTGCTTATAGTATATAGCTTCTATTGCTTGAATAAATTTTCTAGCAAAACCCATCTGTTCCAACAGTAATAACATGAATTGCCAATTCACATTATCAAATGCCTTCTGTGCATCTAGAAATATCAGAGCCATTTGTTTTTCAGGATGTGCCTCGTAGTATTCCAAGGTGTCCAAGATTACTCTCATATTGTCTTTAATTTGTCTCTTTGGCAGAAATCCATTTTGATCAGGATGGATAAAATTATTTAAATATTTTTTAAGTCTTTCTGCCAATATTGAAGCAAAGATTTTATAATCTGCATTTAGTAGAGAAATGGGTCTATAGTTCTTAATTTGTAATGGGTCGGCCTCCTCTTTTGGAATAAGTGTAATATAGGCTTCTGACCATGATTTAGGTATCTTCTTTAACATAACTTCATTCATAACTTCTAGCAATGGAAGATTCAACGATTCTTGTAATGTTTTATAAAATTCTGCCGGAATTCTGTTTTATTGAGGCATCTTGGAAAGTGCATCAGCTAAGAAATTCCCACTGGGAGGAAGCAGAGTGAATTTAAATCAATTTCTCCTGGAGGTGTACATACAAGTTGCAAACAGTTGCAGGGCACTTTGGCTGTTCCTTTGTAAAAGAACAGCTCCCATGGCCACATCACCAGCATGTGCCTGAATAATAAATAGGGCGTTAGGGTCTGAGTGTTTTAGCACCAGTTCGACAATAAAGAACTGTTTGAGTTCTTCAAATGCTGCCTGGCATTCCATTGTCCATTTCAGGGTTTTGCTTGGTTTGGGTTTCCCCTCCCACTTTGTCTTTAGCAAGTTTGTTGTGGGGAGGGCGGACTGGGTGAATGATAGGATAAATTGGCAGTAAAAGTTCACGAATCCCAACAAGCTTGGCAGTTGCTTTCTGGTGTGAGGTGGAGCCACTCTAGCACTGCCTTAACTTTCTCAGGATCCATCTCTATCCCCTTATGGGAGATGTGGTAGCCCAAGTAGTCAATTTTACCTCATTTATCAGCTGCATGAAGACAATGGAGGCCCCTTGTACTCCAAAGAGGAGGATCCTGAATTGAAAACACCCTAAGGGGCAGTTACGAGATTTTCCATTCTTCTCCCTCTTTGATTCAAATTCAGTAATAGGCTTCTTGCAAGTCCAACTTGGTAAAGGTCTTTCCTTTGGCCAAATGGGCTAACATATCTTTCGTTATGGCAATGGATAGACATTTTCCACACACACAGCGTTTAACCCACCATAGTGCATGCTTAGGTACTACATCCTTTTTCTCCCAGATCAGTATCGGGGCAGCCACCCTGGGTTGGGCCGTCGGACAAACCCCCGCTTCAGTTTTTTTGTCTATAAAAGAGCATAGTTCTTCCAGTTCTCCGGGAGTCATGAAATACAATTTCGGTTTGGGTAGTTTAGCTCCCGGCATGATCTCTATGGAGCAGTCCATTGGCTAGTGGGGTGGGAGTTCATCTGAACCCTTCTCGCTAAACACATCCCGTAAGACTTAGTACTCCAGTAGAATTCGGGGATCACCCTTCTTCTGCTCTCGCATGCAGCCCCCACTCCTGGCTCAGCCTTGGGATTCCCTAAGCCTTTCAGCTTCAGACCAACAGAGTTTTTTCCCCTCCTTCAGTTCACATAGGGTTCCATTTCAATTAGCATGGCTAATTCCAAAACCAAATGTCTCTGCATGCTGAAGGTCACAATACAACTCGAGTCACATTTCTATCAGCTCAGTGACAAATGTTTCTGGGATTCTCCTCTATAGAGTCATCTAACTGGCAGAATGCCACTGGCACTTTAAGTGGTCTAAGTCTCATCCCTAGTTTTTCTACCAGGGCAGAGTTGACCAAGCAACTGGTGTACCTCAAGTCCAGAAGGGCTGTTAGGCTAGCTTTTTATCCTGAGGATTGGATGATCAGTTCAATGGGGACTGTCACCAGGGTGACCGGGCCATTTACCGGGGGTCAGCATCCTAGTCAGTGTTGTTCTCCCCTGGACTTCCCACTGGGCTGGACCTCATTCCAGGGTTGTCTCGTATGTTCATGGTGATGGCTTTAGCAGGCTTCTCAGCGGGTCCTGGAGTTGTTCTCTGAGTCGGTCGGTTGGACCTGCACTCAGAGGCCCAGTGCTTTTTGGGAGGGGAGGTTTCTTCTCCAGGAAAGATTTTTGCCACTACCTCCCTGAGCAATGCTTGTTTCAGTGTCTGCTTCAGATGTCTGCTTCCTCAGATAGGACATACCAGCCATGGACGAGGAAGGGTGCCATGGGAGATGCAGGTGTTATAGACCTCATTGGTTAGCCCATCTTTGAAGCAGCCGATCAGGATGTCTCGTGGCCAGTCATGGAACTCCTGGGTGATCTCACCACACTTCTCTGGCCCTGGCTAATAGTTTTGGTGCAGTCCCTGGCTTTGTGGTTAGCAAGGAGGTCCTTGAAGTGTTTACAGAGTGCTTCCATGAAGCAGCTGAAATTCTTTTGTTCTGGGGTGTTGTCATTATGATAACAATACACCTTGCTGAGGCCCCTTCCAGGGCCATGACACATCTCACCTTGCTGCCTTCTGTAGCTATTTCAGGACCCTGTTCCTCCATGTAGGCCCAAACCTGGCCCATGAAGAATCCCAATTGCTGAGGTTCTCCATCAAACTTTATGCCTGGAGAGGTGACTTTTGCAATTCCTTCTCCTTGTTGGCACCAGTCCCACAGGGTGCACACACTGGTCTGCTCCTCCAGGTGCTGGGGCTGTGGAGGCTGCTGCTGCTGAAGATCCAACCCCGTTGTCTGCCATCAGTTGCTGAGGCTGGATGCAGCTGGTCATTTGGCTGGTTGACAAGGGTGAGGGCTTCACGCCTTCAGATTTTTGAAAGCTCCCCCATATAAACTTGATAGCTTGCTCCATCATCCAGTCTGTCTGGCCGACTATTCCTCCCTCCTCCAGCTCCACCCTCTGTTCCTGTTGGTGGCTACTGCAGCTTCTATGGGTAAAATCACCCCTGTGGGTTTCTCTTCTCAGTCCTCCTTCCTCCTGGTGCCAAGGGATACCTGGGTCTCAGTGGATTGCGGCACTCTCTATGTCTCTTGTTCGTTTGGAGAGATCTAGCCTGGGTGGGAGCCTGGATGAAGCCTCCCCCCAGAACTCAGTCTCCTCCTTGTTGCTCCCTTGAGCCAACATAGCATGCATGGTCCCATAGTAGAGTTGGTGTCCTCTCTGGGTTGACCAAAATTGCAGATTCAGCTTATATGTCAGACCTGCCCCAGCCTGATCTTCTAAGGAAGTAAAACACTATATTACATTTAGTTGATATTACTAAGAGATGCTGAATACAGTAAAGTCAAGCGGAATCTAAAATTCCTCTGTGCCAATACAGAACTAAACCCCCGATTCCCTTTAGCCCTCCCTACATAGTCTATCCATATGTAGCCAATTCGGCACTGCTCAGATGTTTTGGGAAATGATGATGTGTTTGGACTAGTAAAATTCCATTCTCAGGGTAAATGGCCTTGATGCCAGTGGACCAACACAAATCAGATTCCAAAGTGCTCTTTTTCCTCATCTGTCAATTTCCCCTCCCAATTTCCCATCATAAAGGTATACATTTTTATTGCCCATTTGCTCCCTCCCTCTCCTCCCTGATTAATGGCAGAATGCTGGCAAGACACCAAGCTGAAGCAGGCAGCAAAATTCACACTTAGTTGACAGTAGTAATGTTATCTAGGTGGGTAAACATCTGCAAGCAAAAACCAAGCTCAGAGATAATTTCCATCAAATGCTGTGTTGAATATATTTTCTCCTAAAGATTGCATACAATTATGAAATCATATTTATTCCAAGAATGCTAAATATTTTTAAATGGCTATCATTTAGAAATGGAGATTTTAATTTTATAGATTACAAGAAGTAAGAAATAGTACAATTCTGCTTTATACACAGAGCTTCGAACTCATTTTGAACCAGCATCAGAAACTGAAGTAGATAAAGAGGAAGATGAAATTGAGGAAGATTACCAGCAAGCTGAACAAGGTAGACCAGAGGAATCAGTTACTGCTGGAGGGTACACGCTTACTTCTTCACAGTCCCCAGACACTGAACAGAAACTTAGCTTGCAGTTAAATAAATTAAAGCAGCAAACAAACAGGTAAAGAGCTCTGGACAATATTTGCATTAAAACATTCAAACTTATATTTTAGTCATTTTAATGATAATCTATATCAGGGGTGTCAAACTTGATTTCATTGTGGGCAGCACCAGAGTTGTTTGATCTTGGAGGGCTGGGATGGGTGTGGCTGGGGTAGGCCTGGCCGGGGTGGGCATTTGACACAGGCTCAAGTTTTACATTTTCCCTTTGCATTCAAAACAGCTATTTCAGATAAAGGCAGATTTATTTTCTGGCACAAATAGTCTCAATTCCATAATGTAGACATTAAAAGACATGTAGAATTCCCAGCTGCTATGGGGCCTTGACTCTGATATAAGAGCAGATCTGAATATGTGTATAATATTGTCATAACAGAGATGCTCAAAAGCCTAATGTGAGTTAAGACAAACAACATCCAGGGTATTATATTTCAACTAGGTTGAATTATAAATTAACATTTAGAACCTTAAAATACTTTTAAACAAAACAGTTCATTACTCTTTAATTCATCCATATCTCCTTGTTTGTCTTCTTTATGTATTAATCTGTCTGCCTTATTTCTGGCATTTCTCCATCGACAAATAACAAAATTGTATACTCTTCGTTACTACTTGGGCAATATCAGCTCAAGTTTCCTTTTCCCTGTTGAATCTGTTCTTTGAAATATTAACTAACTCTATGTAGAATATTTTAGGTGACCCTCCCATTTTTAATGTAATAGAGTTCTTTGAAAACATTAATATTTTATTCCAGATATCCATTGTAAAGAAGAACATTGTACAATGCAACAAAATCATCACAATATATTGCTAAATGTCTAGGATAAGGTTTCTGCTTAAGAGATGTAATACAGAAACAGTCAGGCTTTGTGAAGATATAACATTTTCCATTATCTGCTTTGTGTTTTTTGTCTTCACATTGCAGGTAGTTTTGACTTTAAATTCAGATACTTGAAGTTTTCCATTTTGGGCTGTATTCTTATTTTTTTTTAAAGGTTAGCTTTAATTTATCTTATTCATCAAAATAAGACTCGTCACAACCAGTGTTTCTGACTAATTCTTGTTCAGAATTTAAAGTATTAAATTGATACTTGAAAATTGAAAACTGATTCCTGTTAACCCAACATAAAAATATACAAAGAAATTATACTGGTGTAATATAGACTTCTTCATTCTCCACCTGAATATGTAAATTATTGTTCAGGAATCAGGTTTAGATCATGCTTTATCACATCAATGAAACACTCCTGCCCTCCACTTTTTTTTGTAATAGAATAGTCAAAGGACACTTCTACTTCAGATCTCACCCAGGAAACCAGTGTTAAATGACACCCATCATTGAAATTTTCTCAGTGGAGTTTGGGATGTCAATCAACTCATCATTTCAGTAGGTGGGGGATTCTACCCACACATAGGCATAGCAGCCAGCCACATATAATTTTGCAGTTCTAAAAATGGTAATAGATGAAATAGTCACAGCAAAGACAGCAGAGTCTTGTGGCAGTTTAAAGATATGTGTATTATTACATATATTATCTTTTTAGGATCAGTAAAGATTCTCAGCCATTAATCAAGACCTTTCCCTAAAGACTTGAAAATACCCTTGGGCTTAGTCACTTTCTTGGAGCCTTAATAGTCCAGTGGGACTATTAATAATTCCCCTTAATAAGTCCCCTTAATAATTCCCCTGTGAGATTTTTTTTTGCATATTTTTGTATGAACAGGAGTTGGTGTGAAGCTATTACAAAGATAAATGAACAGATACCCTGGGTTCATGTTAGTATAAAAAGAAAACATTATGATTATTGAGATCTGTATTGGTAACCTCTAATTATCTGGATGCAAAGGAATGGTACTCAACATATGAGTAGATCTATCCACAAAATAAATTCACAGCCTCCTGCAACTCTCTGCCAGCCCAAAACGGTCTTCGGGCAGCCGCTTTTGGCCTCCATGGCCTCCTGAAGCACTCTGCCAGCCCAAAATGAACCTCACGCGGTCCCGAGGCCCATTTTTGGCCTTCACAGCCTCCTGCAGCACTGCTGACCCAAAACGGGCCATGTGCGTCCCCCCGCATCCCGTTTTTGGCTTCCATGGCCTCCTGCAGCACTCTACCGGCTCAAAATGGGCTGCACGTGGCCCTGCCACAGCCCATTTTGGATGGCAGAGACACTACAGGCTGGTCTTTTGATATTTCCAGGCCGGCCCCACAGACCAGATCTAAGCACCCCATGGACCAGATCTGGTCTGCGGGCCTAGAGTTTGACACGCCTGATCTACATATTGCATAAATTTCTTCAGCAATAAAAGCTCAACCAATTAAAGGCTATAAAATCTGCATTTTTTATTTATCTTGCAAGGACAATTACTTTCTCTGCTGGTAGTCCAATAGAGAGGAAGACAAAAGGGATGTCCGCACTCATTTCTGGGTCACCAAAGTTAGTATACAGTCCAACAGAGAACCTAGAAGAAACTATTTTTATATATACTGCCTCATTTTTACAAATAACTCAAGAAAGTGAACATATCTAACACACCTTTCTCTGGTTCTTATCCCAATAACAGCCCTGTGAGGTGGCTTGGGCTAAGAGAATAATTAGCCCATTAATTAGTCCTCAAAAGAAAGATGTTTTCTGCTCCAGAAAATCAAAATACATTTGCATAAGACACTATAATATTATTACATTTCAGATTTAGGATTGAGCAAATTTAGAAAATATACCACAACAGTAGCTTCCATATACACACCTAGTTTTAAATACCAGTATATGAACAGTTTATTAATTTCATACCAGACTCCTTTGCATGTTAAAAGTGGGTTTCTGTACAATTAATTGGTGGCCTGAATGCATAACTTATCTGTAGTTCATTTGGTTGAAAGTAATAATTTGGCAAAATGATATTCATGTGTATGGAAAAAGGAAAAATATTGTTTAACAATAAACATTTTAAACTAGGTTGTCCAGGTGAATAAATAGTTTTTAAATTAGATTGTGTTTTATGTCAGTACAATTTTTCATGTAATAGGTTACTGGAAAACCTAATACAGAGGGAAAGGGAATACCAGACACTCCTTCAGCAAGCATTACAGCAAAAAAATCAAGATTTGCAACTTCTTCAGCTCCAGTTAAAAACTACTGGTAAGTGGGCAAATGAAACTTTCTACATTCATTTAAATGGAGTTAACAGGCTATATAAAGCAATACCTATTAGTATCTAAGGCCTATTCTAGAAACAAACATTTGAACAATATGTTTAGCTAATATACTTTGAATTGTTGCAGAAATTCAACCATCGTCATCTGCTCTTCAGCACAATGTTGATGAAGAACTTATCCAGTGGTTAAAACAACAAAGAGCTGATTCAGATGCAATTGATAGGGTAAGACTAAATAGCCAAGATGTTAAATGCTGTCATTTACTGTTTTCTAAACACAAATTATTTCTTTCAGTTTGTTCAAGAGGACTATACACTCAGCGATGTTCTAAACAGTATCACAAAGGAGGATTTGCAACTGCTCAGACTCCGGTAAGAACAATATTGCATAATTTTAGAAAATACTGCTTTCCAATAGACCAAGCCTAAGATGATGTTTTATTTTCTCATACAGTGGCGGACTTGTCTGTCGCATCTGGAATGCAATATTAAAACACAGAAAGCAAAATACAGTGTTGGGGATGGAGGTTTAGCATTTCACTTTTGCCAGATGCCAATGGACTGAGAGAAAAAAAATACATTCCAAATAAGTTTTAGACACTGATTTCCTTGCATGTTTTGCACAACCATTCAAAATCTCTGTTTGTAAGTATTAAATAATGATTAGTCTATTATAAATTGTGTATTATTTAAACAATCTACTCTTTAGATATGCTACATGTACAGTTCACCTTACAAAATGCAGTTGCTCATATGTAAAATGTAAACCTTTTCTAATATATCTGCTGCTTTTAAAAAATATGTTTGGGTGTTGTATAACATAAAGTATTAGGTTTTATATGATTTTGTAAGAGCAAGATAAACCCCAAAGCATTTCAAATTGTGCACGGTTCCACATTAAGAAAAAACAATCTAGGTTGAATATATTTATATTAAATATATTTTGATTATATTAAAATATTAAGTTTTAAAGCAAATACAATGATGAAACCATGAAAAACAGTGAAGGGAAGAAAGCAAAGGAGAAACATAAAGCAAATATATGCTTAGATAATCTTGATGAGCCTTTTTTATTAATGTAAATAATGCTATTTTAGCTGAATAATTTTCATCATATAGCAACACAAAACAAACTGAAGTTTAATAAACTTCGTTTAATTTACTTCTTGCACAACTTTATTTCAAAATTTCGTATTTCTCATTTTCCCATTCTCCATAAAATGTATTTTATGATTTATTTTATCTGGCTTTTATCACTTAGAACGTAACAGTTAAACTCCAATGCGCTAGTTTAACTAGCTGCTGAATCGGAATTCTCCTAGCCAACAGATTTGTATCTAGTCCACTGATTTGGACCACGCACTTCAAAGGGTGGCTCTTTATTATAGATATAATTGCCTAGTTCTTCCAGAGGTGGTTCTGGATCAGTGGTGGCGAACTGTGCTGCATCTTCAATCTGTTTTCTTACTTCCACATCAATCTCCTACACCAGAAACAATAAAATATTAATAGACAAAAGAAGAAAACCTTTCAAAATGCAGAGTAAAGTGCTTTAAACTTACATTACCAATGCATATCTTGTTATTGCAATAAATAATCAGGATCAAAACCACAGCCTGTAGTTCTAATATAAGTCAATACGTCAAGCTACAAAAATGTGAGTCCTTTATGGCTTTGGGGTGTTCTTTATATCTCCTACTTTGAAACTGGGATTGTCCATCTTCCCATTACTCTCTATTTCATTATCTTTTTTAAAAAATTGCTTCTTTCTCTTTATTTCCTACCTCATGTGATTGGTTATATGGTGGTTTTTGCTTGGAATTGGGTTCTAAAGCTCATGAATATTGCCCCCCCCCCCCCAATTTTAGTTTAAAGCCCTTTTGATAAGATGGGCCAGTCATTTTCTGAATATATTCTTTCCAGTTCTTATGAGGTGCAGTCCATCCCTTGCCAGCAGCCCTTCATGTAGGCAATGCAGATCATATCCCAGGAAGCTGAAGCTCATTTGAAGACACCAGTTTTTAAGCTAGTATTTCATTTTTAAAACCCTTTGCTCCCTCATTGGATGTTGGCCCTTTCTTGGAAGTATAGATGAAAACACTTGGGCTCCTAATTCTTTGACTTGCTTCCCTAGTTGTTTATAATCTCCTGTTATTATTTTCAGATTCATTGTTGTGTCATTGGTCCCCACATGTAGAAGAAAGAGGTAGTAATCAGTGGGGTTGATTATTTTAGTAAAGTACAGTAGTTACATCTTTGATTTGAACGAAGTGGATATTACATGAGGGCTATCTCTACCTCCAACTCATCACTAATTATTTGGAGAAAAAGTTTTTTCTATCTAATTTTCACAACCTGTGAAAAGAAAAAAATATTACCTTGAGCTCCTCCACACTAGCTAAGTTGTTGTTCACCATTCTGTCTTTCAAGAGTGTAATAGGATCACTTTTGCTTCTTACTTCTTGAATTTCTTCTCTTGTTCGGTAACTGTAAAAAAGCCAATTACACTAGTAAACAGTATGACAACAATTTCTGTCAATAAATTGTTAATTATATAATGAAAAATATCATGTCACTTATGGCATTTATTTCGCAAATGGTGTAAGATAGTCAAGGCATTGTTCTTCAGGGGCAGGAATATAATTTAAAGTAAAATACGAATATAGACAAAACAGAAAAAAAAAAGACTCCTCTTACATTTAAAATTCCTTGCCTTTCATTGCTCTAACAAAAACTAAGGAAAATTAACAGATGTATTCAGGATTGGAAATCAATGCTATCAATTAAATTATGAAACAAAGTTTGATTAAAAACTAATTGTTGATGTGAAATGAGAAAAGTCTATATGCAGATTTACATTTTGTACATGTAGTACTGCTTATTAAACTTTTAAATCTATATATATAAAAGCGAAATATCACTCATGCATCATCACAAAATCTCCACAACCGTAAAGCCTACAAACTTGAAATTTGGCACATATGTTCCTCTTGGCTTCTAGGTGCTCACTAAGAAAGGGTTTTTCAAAGTGACCATCAGAGCATTAGTATTTCCTATATTATTATTAACATGCTCTGATGCTAAGGAATTCCACTCCTCCTCCCCACCTGAAATCTGTCCCAAATGCAAAACACAAGCAGGAGCAGAGTTTCAGTTTTACAGTAGCAACCAGTTAGTACAGAACAGTTCAACCAAGCCACGCCCAGGCTCCTTGCTATCTCCTCCTTGCTCACACAGCATATACTACTTCAGTTTCCAAACAGCCCTCAACTCTTTCACACACCGACAGGATTCTAGCCAGATGAATACTGATGGATGCTGATAGGCAGAGGCACAATTTCCCCCCTTATTTTCCTCCCCCCAAACTAAGCCCAATCACGTAGTTTTGTAGCGAAGCATGGGTATAGAGCTAGTATATTATGTATTATTTATTTCTACTATAGGTCCTCAAATTGTAAAAACAATAAAAGTATTTGAAAAATTAATACAAGGCATGCAGACTGGGAGCTTATTATTTAAAAAAAACACCAGTCCTAAATCTGGTTTGGCCATTTACAAAATCTATTATAAAATGGTAGAGAAAACCTTCAGAATTTAGGGGAGAAAAAGTAGGGAAGAAATTGAGGTAGGGATGGGTAAGAAATAAATATACTACCTAATTTAAGAATTAAATTTTAATTTAATACATGACTTCTAATGTAACCATCTACTGCAGGCACGCCAAGCAAAATGGGAGAGCTGTTAAAACTCCCTCCTATTTTGCCCAGGCAAGGTGCAGCTGGCTTGAATAAGCCAAGTAGGATCTGAAGCCCAGTGTGTATTTTGACAACACTCCTGCCTTGCCCTCACAAGCTTTTATCATGTGATCCCTGCAAGGTAGGAAGAGGATACAATCCACAGGGTGAAAATCTCTATTTTAATTTCGTCATTTAAAGAAAATGATTTGATTAAAAATATTTAAGATTATGTAGTAGAAGAGATTGGTAGTCTTATTCTTAGCCAAATTTTTGTACCTCTAGTTTGTTAAATATTTGCATTTTTCTGGTTTTTCTTCAACTATCCTCCAACATAATCTGTTTTTTTCCACCACTAATAACCATATATGCAACAATAAAGAATTACTGTACCTGACTCCAGGATCACTCATACTGTGCCCATGATAACGATATGTTTGCAATTCCATCACAATAGGGCCCTGTTAAAATGGAAATATTTAATAACTTTGAAAATCATACCTTGATTTTGCTGATAACTAAATGTATACAGCCATGCCAGTTTAAGACAATCATTTAGACCAGTAGCTCTCAACTTTTTTGCATCTTACTCTGTTAAAAAATACAGGTCTGACCAAGACAGCAACAAAAGTATTACATTTTTTTCCCTGAGACATTTATATGTTTAAAGTATTTTGTTATATTCAATATTTAATGCTTAGACTTGAATAAAATTTCAGGGACTTTCACTTGATCTCAATAAATCTACTACCACACTATGTCTCATTTTGGGCATCTGTAAGAGTCATAAATGCAGACTACTCTTGATAGTTGGCTAAATTGTTGATTGTAGTTCTTGTTCCTATTTTCTAATGCTTTGAAAACACTGAAAAATCCCTCAAACCTCATTTAAGAGAAAAGGGCAGATACCTGAAAGTACGCCTTGACTCACGACCATTCATTTAATAATTATTTGAAGTTGTGTTGAAAAAAGTGACTAATGACCAGTCCTCACACTTATGACCATCACAGTGTCCTCACAGCCGCATGATCAGTGTTTGGGTGCTTGGCAACCAGCATGTATTTGTGACAGTTGCATCATCCTGGGTCATGGGATTGCAATCTGTGACTTTCCCAAAGGGAAGCAAAGTCAATGGGGAAGTCAGATGTATGATTTGCCTAAAATTGTGATGATTTGTTTAATGACTATAGCAAAATATCATAAAATCAGGCATGCCTCACTTAATGACTACATCATTTGGTGGCAGAAGTTTCAGTCCCCAATTGTGGTTTTAAGTTGAGCAATGCTGTATTTACACTTGAGCTTTTTAATTTAAAAATGGATTTGCCAAGAACTGTTAAGAGAGGGTCTGTTTGGTTATGTGGTTCACAATATAAAATGTTACTGTGATAACCTGGTATCAAACTGGTGGTGATGTCCACGTGTAAAGTTGCATGTTTAAGTTGTCTTGTAAGAATTGGTAACTGAATTCTTTCACATTGCATTTACCCAATCCAAATCTTCCAGCAATGCTAGGTTCTCCTTTTCTCCATATTTTGCCTTCCCATCACCCATATGTGTTCTTTCTCAATGGTGCAACTAGGTCTTTCTTGAAGTTTAGCACAGAATATCTTGAAGGATCCAATCCGAGTCAGTCACTGGGACCAAAGGTTTATTCGTCCAAGCTGTCAGGCTCATCATCAGGGAACCAGAATATTGCACCCACTTTTGGAGAGAGAAAAGTTCCCTGATGATGGGCTCCAGCATGAGCCGAAAGCTCAGAAGAGTAAACTTTAGTTAGTCCTAGTGACCAACTTAGATTGGATCTGGTAACATCATCCTGGGATACGTAT